CTGCAATGCCCACATCAGACTTTCATTTGTGGTACCTCAGCATTTTCTCTCGAACCAATTACCAACTTGCGTATCAGGTTTATTTGACGTCATGTTTACGAAAACGTTGTGTTTTACTGATGGATCGGTTTTACCTAGAATGGTGCTAGCGCCAATGCTAAAGCATTGTTCACGAATCGGCGAAAAGAAGGAAATACGTATCGAGTGGGAGAATCGCTAACCGCTCTGGCAAAATGTCGAGTGCAAGCACGAAAAGAGCTAGATGCGCTTAAGTTAGGCTGACTCCGGTTTGGAGGAGCATTCGGAAAGAAAGACTCATTTTTGCTCGCTCACTCCAACTGTTCCCCCGATCAATTCGTATCTAGCTTTTTCGCGCGCCCGCTTGATTCGCCCGCCCGGTACTCCAGTTCTTCCTGTCGATAAGTATCAAAAAGTTTTTGCAGATGCGCTTTTTTGCCAATTCTGCTGTTCGTAAGCTGTGAACAATGCCTATTGTAGAAGGTGCACGGCGGGACCAGGCCCCGGCCACTCTGCTCGTCTACAACTAGCTAAAACTGAGTCGTTTGATGGGGATAGCATTTCGCAAGCCTAGCTTTAGCAGAGCGCCGAGAAATGAAGGTGTATTCGCGATAAGAACCGCATATTACCCATTTTTGCTAGTTCATAAAAAGTCTGGTGAAAACCTCGTAGCGCCAAATTGGCACTGGCACTATTCTGGCACTAGTCGGAAGCTTCTGAGCCATTTGTCCTATTCTCAACTAGTACACCCAGGTTTCCAAGTTCAATATGTTGTAAAAAGGGCGCCGGAAGCAAATACAATATTCCCTATGGTCCAAGCTTTAGCAATTTTTTTTCACTGAGGTTGAGGTTATATAGCGCCAAAAATTACCCAAGCGACGGTTCGTAACTCTTATGGTTAGTCATGGGGTGTTTGGAGTTCCTCAGAAGTGCAAATTAGTGTTCATTACATACCATTCTCCTTACAGTTCCGATTCAGGTATATCGAATTCGGTGATGAGAGCAATGAAGATGACAAGGAGGAGAAAAATAATGATGAATTTGAACTGGAGAATCCGCTCGAATACATTAAAGGCTTAAGTCAAGATGACTATGAGGATTTGGTCGAGGATATCAAGGTTCGTTTAATGATACCTTTTTGTCTTTCTCTTTCTTCGGCGAGGGACCAAGGGTTTCTCGAGAACCACACGATTTCCAGATATACCGCTCTCTTGACGGCGACCGTCACTGTGAATACTGGAGCGACATTCGATGTATTGTGGACGATGAACTACGGAAACTGCGAGATGATAGAGGCAGGCTCGGCACTTCTATTCATGGTTCAGTCCAGCAAGATGTCGACAAGATTTTTAAGGTATTTGTGTTCGTGTCGGTCTTTTCTTTTCATTTTTTCTATTTCCTGGATCTTTTCAACATAACTGGACATTTTAAACGCAACATTTACTCCCTTACTTTACTAGGAAAGGGGAATCACAAAATTGCTATGCAGGAAGTTTCTTAGTCTTGTGAAAACGGAGTGATCTAGTCTTCATAAGATAATGCCGTGAAATCTTCATCGGAATTGCTTGATTGTGTACGAGCTTCACCGGATTGCTCCTCAAGTGTAGTTGGTTTTCGCTCCACAACAAACCTGAAATGAGATATGTAAAGATAAAGTCTTCGCCGTTAATCAGTCCCTTTTCGGAGATGCGGCACTTATCCTATTTCCGCTCAAATTGCACGCACTTTGAAACAATAGCGGAGCTTTTGCTTTCTCGACATGATTTACCTCGGTATTTCATCTTCTGTTGGGTCACGCTCAAAGTCGAAGTTGTCATCATCGTCTTTTATGCCGCCCACATCGTGAATGATCTCTTTAGTCAGTTCTTCTAGTCGGTCGTACTCGGCGTTCGACACTGGATCCGTTGCACCCTCCCGTGTAATGGTGTCGAAGATTTTCTTGTATCTAGAATATTTCCTTAACATAATGTCAGAAAATCTTCAGATTTTTCTAGAACTCACTGATGTGGTAATCCTTCGAACAGTTCACCGCAGTTAATCGACTTGATCTTTGTCCATTTGACATCTACGGCCCGATCGCATTCCCATGGCAGTGTGCCTTTGACGAGATAAACGAAGAAGTAGAGCCAAGCTTCGAGTTCATCTCGACAGCAAATCGGATCTAAAGGGAGTGACATAGCAGTAAGGGTTCTGCATGGCTTTCTAAAGCGGTTTACCGTCGTCGTGGAATGTCATCGGCGCGAATATGAGGCCGCCACACCAATGAGGCATTACCAGTTCATGGTTGTGAGTGTCGATTTTGGATGTGTCCTGGAAGAGTACGTTGAGAAATTCGTTAAAGACAGCCCCGCGCTCGAGTAGTACATGGTCGTCCTTCCTTGTGCAAGTAGTACAGCCCCCAAGCTAGAGACTGTCCCACTCTCGCGACTCCACAGCGAGCGAGGAGCGAGCTACAGCCGCTGAAAGTTCTAGTTCTAACGCCCGCCCAGTTGGACCGCCCACTTGCTAGATGCCCTCTGACGGAGAGCCGCTCAGTTGTTCTTTGTTGGGGCGGCGGGCATTAATCGGAATTGCATGCCCTTTTTGCTGACCGCGCTCGTGCCCATGAATGGTTCTGCTCTCCTTTATTACATTTTATTCATTAGGAGCACATACAGTCAACTCAACCCATCTTGCAAGGTAAAACGCGTAAAAATCACGAGCGACCCAATTTTCGTGGTGCAAAAGCTCGACGCACCACACTACACTAAAAGATGCACGCTACCGTAACCCTAAATTCAGACGCCTAGTTTTTGAAAGTTTCTTTTCCTTTTCAAGAGTTTTTCTTCCGTGTTTTTGTTGTTTTTCGTATTCTTTTCATTGCATTGGATGATACCCACTACTGGGAGATGTGATAAAGGAATTTGTGAGCCAGGGGTTGCACAGAGACCGCAGGAAGGTGTGACTGCCAGGGAGCGATTTTGTTTATGGTGTTCTTGAGGACTCTTCTTGCTTTTTTTCTACGCTACTGTTTCATCATTGAAAAGCAACTATCATGACACTTTTATCGCGCGAGCTGCCTTTGAAGGCACGCTCCGCGTTCATTTTTCGGACACCTTTTGTGGACAAGCTGGTGCTGCCTGCAAACATGGAGAATGTATTGCGTACGCAGCTCAAAAACACGTGAGGAAAGTACTACGCGCCAAACCATAACTCCGCCCACTGGCCAGGGCGACGCCCAACTTTCTTCGTTAAAAAATTCCTGGTGGTACGCTTGTTCCGCTACTAGCTTTCTCTCCATTTCGAGTGATGAGAGCGAGGTGATAAAGGGAAAGAGCTGACACCAACAAAGGAGAACTCGTCCAGCTACGCCCTTCTTCGCCTTGTGCACGTAAAAGCGCGGTTCAGCTGTACCGGCTAATACCGGCTAGTTTCCTGTAATGCTGGTAGGCCTACAGGTCAAGGAATCGCAAAATAACACCTCGAAAACGTTCTAGATAAGTTTCGTCAAATTTCGGGCATTGCGAGGCGGATATCACCTCCTTTCCCGGCGCCTTTGCCTTATGCTACTTTGACCATATAGGTCCTTACCATTTTCGTGCTCATATCTAGTTCGCTGAGAACGAAGAATCATGTCAGGCGAGGTGAGTTTGGCGCCGTGCCGAACCAGTTAACCACCAGTTTTTGGAGGCAGCATCGAGTGCAGACGCTGTGTCGTACTCTTACTGCCTGACACGTCCGTTCATCCGCAACCTACTATAGTATATCCATGTCGTTCACTCAAGGAATTATGCATTCAAGCAGCAAAATTGTCTCTTACTTTCCGTATAGTCGATAAGTCGGCCATGAAGAGATGGCGAGAGCAAGCATCAAAGTGAAACATCTCCAAGTTGAGTGAACGCACGAGGTAGCCCAAGTTGTGAGTTGCACGTATGATCTGTAAATTTGATACGATTAGAACGATGTGATTCTACCAAGTTACCTTGTTTTCGGTAACATATCTCTCCATGTCGTCTGTTTTCATGATGCTTCGAGGAAGATGACTCGCCTAAACTCGAAAATTTTACCTGTAGTACATCGAGAGCTAAACGGCCACCGGAGCCGTGAGTGAACTTCTTTCCGGAATACTCCAAGCACTGGTTGAGTACTGGTCCACTTCGGAAGTATAAAGCGAGATAGTAGAAATCTTCATCGTGATAGATGGAATGCACTTGCGAGAAGAAGCGCCATAAGTTTTCCTGCTCTATCTGCAAAGTGATCGCCTAGATCGCCCATTATGCTTTGTCAAAGATTTGTGAATCACAACTCATTGGTCGCCCCATTTCTGTCAACAGTGCTGACCTTACACAGAAATGATGCTTCGAGTTGAGGAATAAGTATTTGATCGTTTCCCACTCGTAAAACTAGTTCTTTACCATCAGGAGCAGTTGCCAAGTAAGTTGCTCCCACCCGATCGTCCCATCCGATCCGTTCGAAAATCTGGAATGACAACGACATATTCTCTGATATTCCTAAGGATTGGCTGTACAAGTGAAACCACCTGATAACGACCACCAATAACGTGGTTAGTCTGAAACATCGGCATTTCGTTGATAACGTGGTATGGCAGCTCTTTGCCAGTCAATTTGTGCTGTTTCTCTCGTACATGAGGCATTGGTGCAACGGGGAGCTAGAATATACTAGTCCCAGTACTGAACCTGAGTTTTGTGAACATATGGAACGTACTGCATCATTAGCTTCTGTTGTATCTCCGCAAGGTTTGTTCTTGAAGTCATCCGAGATTTGATGGCAGTGAAGCTCACCGCTTTCCATGGTATCAGGTGGAAAAGTGATCTCATGGAATCTCTCCGCAACGATTCCACGTTCGTTTTTCGGTTAATACTGGTTAAGACAGATAGGTTATTTTCCGTCGAATTACACATTCTAACATGAGTGTGCATGTGTTTATGTAGAATATGTATGGGGAAAGGGTGTTCATGGAAGTCCTCTCAGTAGTCCTCTTGGGTTCCTTGGCCTTGATTTTGCGTTGTAATATTGTTTTCCAATATTCAAGCACTCTCTGAGGCTTGTTTTCTCTACGCACAAGTTGATAATTTCATTTGTCAACAAAATAGATCATCGCCTTGATGTGGAATTAACTTCTAGTTCGCTGCGGACGGTTGGGCGTGTCAGCCAGTATGAGTGTGCACACCGTCAAGGCCGTTCTCTGCCTTCTTGTTGAAACGCGCGCGACAAAAAGTGGTAGAAAACGAGTAATACGAACGATATGATACAGTATTGTCACTTGCCCGCTTCAACAACTGGTGGAGAACGAGTTTGGCACCGCGCCAAACGCAGCCGCACTGACACGCCCAACCGTCCGCAGCGAACTACACTATATGTCAGTACATCTTCATCCGAAATGGCGTTGAATTACGCCTCCCCTTTTTTTACAACTTATAACTTAATCGTCCGTGTCACAAACCTGAACACCTTTTCATCCAAATATTGCATTTTCTGGCGACAAGGGAGTATGAAGTGGGAGAAAAATCGAATAATTTCCCGTTTTGAGGAGGGCAGCCGCGTAAGGCATTATTTGATGTCTTGCAGTGTGCATCATGTTGATCCCGATTACGAAATTGTTTTCGTTCTGTTCAATGTTCTGTTCTGTTTAAATTTTGTTCTGTTTAAATTCAATGTTAAGTGAAAAAGAGGTGCTAAGAATCAGGTAGAAATGAGAAACAGTGAAAAAGGGATTGAATACCGGAAGAAAGAACATAAAGGGAAGCTGGGGTCTGGTACAACTTGTAGCGCTACAATTGTCGCGCTACAACTGTAGCGCTACAAGTCTGAACGCTGCCTAATGGCAAGTGGCGCGGTATAGCATGTGCTCAGTCTAGGGATCTGCTCACTCACACACCCGACCGAGTCGTCCACCTCCCGTGGATGGTTTATTCGGGAGGATGGCAACTGACTTCTACATCAGCTGGCCCGCACAAATCATTGTATGGGCCAAATCGCATCCAATATGTCATTGCAATTCTGACTGGAAGTAGAGTGCTTGTCGCATCGAAAGGCATCGATCTTTCTCCGAAAGCTTTATCATTTCTGCTCCCACGTCCTCTAGGATCCCAAACCCCTAGGTAAGCCAATTTCTGAACCCTTCGAAAGTCCGAAATATGGCTCCCTTCCCTTGTCACAAGATGTGGGTTCCAGAAGCTGGTGATCGTTGCTGCTAACGGTTATCTGTACTCTTAACACAATGCGGACCGCCGCTCTGCAAGTATCTCCGCTTCATTTTGTCATTTTTAAAATAGATAATGAATGATTTTATCATCTTTTTCTCCTTCATTTTGTCATGAGATGCATGTGTCGATAAACGTGTTCTGATAACTCTCGAATATGACAGATGCCAAATAGACCACAGGAAATAGCGCAGTGAGAGAAATGCCATTAGGAACAGCGCAGGATGAGAAACTGTAAGGCCTTACCATGTTTTCTGGTGTGTCACGCGCGTCGCGAAACTATTATATACTGATGCTCCTGCTGCACGTGTTTGAAAAGGTGGTCTTTTAGGGGAAAATTAAAACAGGTGGGATGAGCGTGGCTGTGTCAACTCGAGAAGACAATCGTTAACAAAGTCAACGCTGGTGGAGCTGGCACGGATATCTCATACTGGGAGGGCCTCTTGGGTGAGTCGATCCTTCTAATCTTTCCATCTGAACAGAAACGGAATCATAAATGGACTAGCGCGTGAAAGACCTCGCTACTGATGGTAGCTAATCTGGTCTTGGAACCTGGAAGATGCCGTTTGCAGTTCCACAGTGTTCTTAGTATGTTCTGTAATGTGGTTTCCAGTTTCTTTCACTTTGTTTTTGTCAGCTCACTTGAAAGTGTAGTGTTGCAAGACTGAGCTTTTAATCACTAACACTATAAAATTGTAAGTTGTTCGCGTTCCTGGTCAAAGTGAGCTAAACATCCGAACGATGGTGCCTCCGGCTTAATTGGCAAGAGATCCGCTGGAAGGAACAGATGGACAGAAGTGGGTAAGAAATCGAGCCCCAATCAACACGTTCTGAGTCACTTGTTAAAGTGGTTGATGGTCAGACTGAGAATCTTTCTTCATCGCAACTGAATCGCACTGATTTGTGCCCTGTCTGATGACGAAGATGAGAATATTGAGAAAAAGCTTCAGCGGAAGGTTGATCTTGATGAGCTCGAGGCTCCTGAGCTTGATGATGAGCAAAAAGAAATGCGGTGGAGGTACGTTTATCAGATGAATTGATGCGTGATTTGGGGCAGTTCGGGGAAGGAAGGGGGGACATTTTGCACTGACGCTGCTCCACTGTTTATGGGCTTGCATATCTTACACGGGTGAAACCTGTGAACTCCTGTGAAGCTGGAACAAGCACGCTGAGCCACCATGGAAGAACCTGCCAACTCTTGTAAACTCATGAACAAGCTTTCTAGAGGGAAGTGACAGAAGTCCAGAATGCCCCCTCGTCGCCAAAACGCGCCCATGATTTTATCTGTGACTGATTGTGAGAGTTTTCTTTCCAGGCAGCTGTCTCATGAACAGCTCGAAACTGCAACGTTGGAACTCTATGAACGGGGTGGTTATAGTCCGTCGTACCAATCCATGACAGACACAATGCCTGGTGCGTTTAAGTTATCGTTTGCTGGTTTTATTATGATAAATGCTCGATGATTGACGCTGCAGTTCGCGTTCTGAAAGTTATCACAAGGATCCTGAGTTATTGTGGAAATCCGGGAAATCCGACTCCAGGCAGCTCGAACCTGTGCCTCACGTTTACCGGGCTAGTGTGTTAAGCGTAACACCATCAAAGCTGTAAAGTTTTGCCAGTAGCGCTGTGCCTTCCACCCCTTCGGCTTAATGGCTTATGGCACAGTGCCGTAAACCACTGGGGTAACGGTCAGCAAACAATTCTGGTATATGCTTTTGTAGGTTCGAGTCCTTCCTGGGTTCAAATCTTCTGCCCACAACTCAACATTCTTGT